GTACATACTTGTAACAACACTTCTGAGATGATGATATGTTATTATGTGTGGGCTAGGATTGAGTGGCTAGACATTATACACTGGCAGCATACCAAATAAGCACACTGTTACTGCAGGGCTATGGCCTGTTTGAGGCCATAGGTGTGGGAGATTAAGCTTTAAGAAGGTCGAGGCCAGTTTCTAGCTCTTCGTTACACTGTAGCTGGAAGTTTCACAATCATGATATAATCAGTATTTTTGGGGTGGGGGGTTTTTTTGTTGTTGTTTGAATTCTCCCCTTGGCTGATTCTTTGGGGTTGAAGCTTTGTATTCAGGTGTGTTTAAAATTAATTAACTTTTCATGCTCAAAACCTTGAGTGGCCTGAGAGAGAGCAAAACAGGAGGGCTGCTTCTTAACCCTGCCAATATTCAGAAAACTATTGAGGCTCAAAACTGATAGAGTTCTTGGCACTCTCTATAAAAGGAGAATTTTGTACTTAAAAGGCTTGGCTTCTAGTTTGTGTCCTTCATGCATATTTAGTATCTCCGTAGGACAAGAGGAAATGGGCTCAAGCTGCACCAGGGGAGGTTTAGATCAGATATTAGGAAGAATTTCTTCATGGAAGGGGTAATCAAGCATTGGAACAGGCTGCCCAGAGAGGTGGTGGAGTCACCATCCCTGGAAGGGTTCAAGAAACGGGTAGATGTGGCACTTTGGGACATGGTTTAGTCTAGTCTACCCTTAATTGGTTTAGTGTGGACTTGGTAATGTTAAGTTAATGGTTGGACTGGATGATCTTAAAGGTCTTTTCCAACCTAAATGATTCTATGATCTGTGTCAGAGTAATCTGGCCAAAATCTGGAATGGCCTCTAAAGAGCAGTGGAAACAATGCCCTTTGCAAGATAATGGAAATTGTGCACTTCTTCCTAGGCTGATTATTCGGTGCCTCTGATGTGCTATATTTATGATGGCAGATTGGCTGGCTGAGCATGAAGGCATCACGGTCTGGTTGGTTTTTGTTGGTTGCATCCTACCGCCCCCCTCAATGGTCTATTTCAAGGACTAGCTTGATGCTGAAGAACTACTTGTGAGAGAGGAAAACATCTTGTGTGAATTCTGGCCTTTTCTTGAGTCAATACTGGGCCTTTCTTAATAAGTTATGGAGTTCTAAGCATCTTCACTATGCTGTATTTTCCTGGTCAAAGGAAGAAGTATAGGAAATGGAAATGAGCAGCTGGAGGAAGTCAAAATGTCTTAAGTGCTGATGAGGAGGGAAGCAGGGAGTGTGCACAAAAAAATTGTTGCTTTTGGTTTTAAAACTGTAGAAGCTGAAGTAATGAACTCTTGCAATTTCTGGGTTGCAGTCTCAGGAAACTGTAGAAACAATGGTGGTAATGTCTCAGAAATGATGTAATTGATTCTATATAACAGCATAAAACCATTTCTTTCATGTCTGATAAAAAGTCTATTTAGCCTAATATCCTGTCTCTAACTGAATTAAAACATGAGGTTTATAGGGGTTGAGAGATGGTTTACAAAACACTTCCTGTTATTGACAACTTTTCTTTTTGTGAAATTACTGTGTAATTTTGGCATATATATTCTTATTTCTGCTACTTTTTTACACTAAAGGAAACGAAATGATAAAATAGAATTACTTGTGGGCTGTATTGCTGAACTATCAGAAGTGGAAGAAAACATGCTGCTGCGACATGGGGAAAATGACTTCAGTGTCATGTATTCCACACGGAAAAACTGTGCACAGCTGTGGCTTGGTCCTGCTGCATTTATCAATCATGGTGAGTAATAAGTACAGGAATCATGTTAAAGGACATAAGCAATTCTATTCAGAAGTGTTGTTATATATGAGCTGAATAACACCAGACACTAGAGAAAATCTCTGAATCTGGCATACTGGATTACTGTAGGACAAAATCCTGTTGGGATTTTCCCAGACCAGAGCTGATCGGCTCTGAACTGGGAAACTCATAGAAGGCTCTAGGAAGTGATGCCTTCTTCCTTCACAGAGACTTTGGAACTGGCAACTAAATTAGTGGAGCATATTGTGGGTTATCTTGAATTCTTTGGGAACTTAGTCAACAGTAACATATTTCTTAGGTGAACTTATTACGTCTTTTTCACCCTTTTGCACAGAAGCTTAACTGATTCTGTTGCATTTGTATGCTGAAGGAAAAGCAGATAGGATTTGAAATAAATCCTATTACCTTCAGAGGAGGGAAACTGAACATTTGTGAAAGCATAGGGAAGAGCTCAAAAACCAAACTATATAAAAATAGGTATCTTTTGATGTATAGCTTTGTGCAATACTATCATAACTCCCAGTATTTAGTTGAGATTCTACAGTTACTGAAGCCAGAGTGAATCCTTACTTTAGATATCTACAACTATTCATGTTTCAGGTCTTATCAACAGTTAATTGACTTTATCTTTTGGACCTTTTTCAGATTGCAGACCTAACTGTAAGGTAAGCAAGAAATCAAAAGTAAATAAATAAAGCACCCCGTGCTTTTTTTCCCTTTGTCCCTGCACCTTTTCCTCCCCAACTGTTTCACTTTTTTTCTTATTCAGATACTGTTCAACCTTCATGATTAACCTCCCCCCCCCTCCCTTTGTCATCTCCTTCCCCAGTTTGTATCAACGGGCAGGGATACAGCATGTGTGAAAGCTCTAAGAGACATTGAACCTGGAGAAGAAATCTCTTGTTACTATGGAGATGGATTTTTTGGAGAAAATAATGAATACTGCGAATGCTACACCTGTGAAAGGTATGCATTGATATAAATAAGTTTCAAATGGAATTGGGCATATTCATGATATATTTTGTGAAACTGAAAGTCCTTGATTATGAGTACTCAGATTTTTGGATACATTGTAATTGCTTCCTGGCTATTTGTTGTAATGACTTTTTTATGTTGTTACTGAATGGTCGTGTTTCCTGAGAGCTTCTGCATTCTGTTTTTCTTTTGATTCTCTGTTCTGAAGATAGCCCAAAGTGAGAATAACAAAGAAGTGTAGATTCTTAAAAATATTTGCACTGAATAAAGTAGAATTGGAAGAAAAAGCAGTCATAGCTTCTACAAGAGTATTAGCAACTGACCCCCAACTTTTTCTCTTTTTTTGCACTAGAAAAGCAAATTTCATTAATGTTTTCTGTGTTAACCTGAAATTCTCTTCTGCTGGGAATGGGCAAAGTAGTTTTCACCCTGTGTTATTAGGACTTGGGGGTTTGTGTATTTGTAAAGATCTGCTGGTTTGGAGAGTACTTGCCTATATCTGTCCATCGCACAATAGCAGTAAAGCTGTTGTTATATTTGTTTTTCACCTGTGCTGTCCCAACCTTGTTTCTTCACAAAATCAGTTGAAAGAATTTCATAGTTGTTTTTTGTTATGTTGAAACTTCTGCTTGCTGTTAGCATGGAGACTCAACATCGTTTGTGAGAGCTTCACCTAGTTCCAAGAAGACCTACACAGAACCTGTAACAGTTCTGTTACTGTTTGACCTAACTGTAGAAAGAAAAAACCTATAAAGGACAAAGTATTAATCATACTGAGAAATAGCTTAATGCACCTACATATAAATAGTTTAATAATCCTACCTTCATTTTTACTAGCTAGTTTGGTCACTAACAATTCTTGCAATTCAAGAGAAAACCTTGTGGTGTAGACCTCCAAGCTCATACAATGTTGGTAGATCATTCCAAGTGAAGGGTGCAGTCTCAGACTTTATATATAGAGAGCTGCTAGTGAAAACGTACTCCAGTCCTGGCAGCTGCTTAGTATTGAATAAGCGGGCACCATGATTGTTCTTTCCTTGTTACTTGGAGTGGTATGTTTCTTTTTGCTCAAGTTCCTTTGATTGTTGACTTTAATGTAATACGGACATACTTTCTCTTTCAGACAAACCAATTTTATGTGTCCCAACATTTTCACTAACTTGTCATCTCTGTATTTGAGAGTACATTAAAATGTTATATTTACATAATATATAATATATATGTTTTATATAT